GACTAATGCTAATAATAGTAATAGTATTAATAATTGTAAATGGCCATTGGTCACACCACCAGTTTGTTTTACTGTAAACTTGGAGGAAGCCTGCGTCCCTAACCCTAACAGGGGGTTGGTCGAATAATCGATTATTATTCGCCAGGGCTGCCGAATAATCGATTTTGATCATGGTCAGTTTCTGGCAACCCTAGTATAGGCTACCTGGGGTCAGGCAGATATACCCATCACATGTAGGCCAGCATCAGCCATCACGGAGAACCGAGCATCCAGTCCAAAACATCCCTGTCAATCTGTAAGTGGCTGGAGGCGTTACAAACATGAGGTTTTGTAATTGTTGCAGCGCTGCCACAGAAACCTCAGCTAAACCACGGCGCAGAGTTGGACACAGCTCGGGCTATAAACACCCACACTGTGCGCTGAGGGATCATTTATATTGAAACCATAGAAAACAATGTCCAAATGTCTGCATTACCTCGGCTGTCTCTGGGCTCGTTGTCTGCTAAAGGCTGCAGACCCACTACACCCCCCTAAGGATGATTGCAACCGCAATTTGCGTCACAGCTGACTTTAGATATTTAACAGTGTTTTCATATGGATTGGCATTTTTGACTTAGATGTGGACTGTTGGCAGCGTCTTATGGAGTGATATAGAGCAATTTTCGATATATCCACACTTTGACCAACATCATCCTGTTTCTTTTGGCGAGTTCCCAGCTTTCTTTTTATAAAGTGTATTATTTTTCTGTCAACACACAGTGGGCGTGCTTTCTTAAACCCACTCTATCTGATGAAAACCAGATAGAGACAAGAGGCCTGAAATGATGGCGGAAAAGAGCGAGATACTGTTTTCCTCCCCCCCAGTTTTTGAACCCAGACCAAGTTTCTGTCATTTAGACGTCAACACGTTGATTAAAAAGGTTATGATGACACATCTCACACATGACATGCACACACACACACTGATACACCCGGAGCACAGCTGGAAGAGCTTTCGGGGATCAGGGGATTTTGTAAACACGGGTTAAGTGGTGTGTGTGTGTGTGTGTGTGTATGTGTGCGCGTTCAAGGGTCTTACACATTCTGGGAAATAATATCCCAGCCAATGACAGATTTTCTGGTGGGGGGGTTGCCGGGCAGAATAGCTGCCCGCTGATGTCATGAGAATCAGAGATTGCAGAAGAGCTAGAGACACTGAACAGACGGACAGAGAGGGAACCCTTTTACCTGATTTCAGTCTCCGTCAACATCTTCATGAACAGCTGTCAGAAAGTATAAATCAGTGTTGTTATATCTCTCTTGAACTATTTTAAGTGAAGGTGTTGGGGACAGCTTTTCATATATAGAGTTTCATGCGCTACAGCAAATGGAAACACTGGTTTGGGCTTTTTAAGATGTTCCAAGATATCGAATGAGTGGAAATGGAATAAAAAAGAAACAAAGTATTACATCAATCTTCACAATCCTACCCTACTCACACTGTTCAACAAGACCATAAGTTATAACCATAAGAATAAGTGTCTGGCCTTTCTATTCAAGATTCGGCCCATTTTGGCGGTTAGTATCTTACAAAAGAGAGTTTTTATTTGAGGAACATGTGCGGCAACACCTGCAAAATAATATACTGGGTTTAATTTCAATCAGAAAAAATAACAAAAAACGATGGTGGGCAAGTACTGTAATAGGTGTATTCTCTGACTACTCCGCTAAACTCAGATTGAAGCTGCAGAGGCGGTTTGGTTCTGACCGCCAGGCACTGAAGGGCAACTCATATGCTGCTATCATCCCTTCAAACAACACTCTCTTAAATCCCAGGTTGGTTGAACGTGTGAGTAAAAGTCAGCGATGATGGATGGATAAGGTCGGTCCATTGGATTAGCAGAGTAGCCCGTGCACGTCCGCCGGACTCATAACGTTATAACTAGTGCGGTGTGTGTGGAGGAGTTTTGTAAAAGGCAACAGGTGGGAAACTGTACTGGTTGCTTTGATGGTGTGTAGCGATGTGTGTGTTTACGTGTGTGTGTGTGTGTGTGTGTGTTCTCCACCCCTCTCTCTCCCGCTCGCCTGCTCTGCCTGCCTCTCTCTCTCTAATTACCCCTCAGTCTTTTCTCCCATCCATGTGTATCTCACCCTCTCATCTCCCCTTCTTCCCGGGCCACATTCAGGACTTTGAAGAGTCCCCCCCCCCTCGCTCTGTCTTTGATAATGAGCCAAAATTGGCCTCTGGCCTGAGGAGATGGAATCAAGCTGTGCCTAATGGCTGTGTCTGTGTGTTTGATTTTGTTTAGGTGTAAGTGTGTGTGTTGTTGTTTGTAGTGGAGGATTGTAAAGAAAATGTCCATCATAAAACACTTATTATTAAAAACAGATATTAGTCGTGAGAGGTTTTTTATTTTGTTTTAGGCGGTTTTATTTTTGTGGATAAATGCAATTAAATAGATATGGAATAAGTGGGAAAACGTTTAGTAGGTGGAGCAACATGGCTCTCCGGTGAAAACCACATTACTGTCGTGTATTTTCTAGACATGTTTAGACGATGTGAAACAAAGTCATCCATCAGAAGTGCTGTGTGAAGATTCCTTAAAAACACAATATTTATGACATTTTGAAAGCATCATTTCAATAATTTGTCCACAAATAAAAGCTTTTAAACTGATACTACTAATTATTTTTCGGTTAATTAGATAGAGTTGGAAGAGAAAGGGTTCCCACTGTGCCACCCACCCTTTATTTGTCTGGAACATTTTTTTAAGCCGTCACTTAATTCTGGGAATATTTATAAGTCCTTCACATTCTTTTCTAATGGTTTCCCATGGTTTTCTTCACTCTGCTGTTTGTCTTCCTGATTTTCCAGAAATCAGTCGAGGGTTGCTCTTTAAGTTGTCTTGTGCGTTGGTATGAGGAAACCCCGAACACACATCCGCTCACTCATCCCCCTGTCTGTGTGTCTCTCTCATGTGTGTGTGTGTCTAACATTATCCATATGGTGAATATTGAGAACATGAAGGGAGTCACTTCCTAAGAGGAAACCGTCCTTTGGGAATCTGGAGTGATTTTACATGTGTGTCTGGTTAGGCTGTCCTGGAGTCAACGCTGCAATCATTGAGACTTTAACTGTCGAATCAAATTCATCTCAATTCAGGACATTCTAAATGTAACATAGTCTGTGCAGTAGATTGGTCTTGCCTCTAAATTGTTACAGTTTGTCTATTTAGATGAATCGCACTGAACAAATGTTAGGACTCACTCCAACATTTTTCTGAACGTTTGTTACTACAGTTTATACACCCTTTGCTAATTTATCGTCCTACTCCGCTTCATTTAATTGGTCAATGGACTGCATTTACGTGGCATCTTATCCGAAATGCCTCACTAACTTACCCGCTAATGCACAAACACATACACAGCTGCTACTTCTGTTCTTTTATTAAGTGTTTTACATGATTGTTAAGCTATTTTGTACCAAATGAAAGGATCTCTGTCCATTTTCCAGGACTATAAAGGATGGTAAACCCTACCATGTGCTATATAGACGAGCACCAAGGGGCAGGATTACCCATAAAACCTTCAGACTCAATCCTGAGCTACTGTAGATTTTTCCCATCCAGGCAGCATGTGTTCATTGATGTATAATACAACAAAGATCACTATATCTATTTTATCCCTGTAATGTGTCTGTGCTCCTCTGTAGTGGAGCCAGCGGGGCCGGACCAGGTGAACCCCTGCTACTCGGGGAGCCATGACTGCGACACCACGGCCCAGTGCCTCCCCCAGGAGGGCCAGGCCTTCCAGTGCCAGTGCGCTACCGGTTACAGAGGGGACGGACGCAACTGCTACGGTACCTGTCACCCCTTTATATGGACATGCACGTACAGCGTCCTGTTAAAGAATCTGGAACATTGCAACTGCTTTTACAACTGTTTTTATAACAATAACACATTTAGACAAAGTTGAAGGCAGTGTGTCTGGGATTCATCAACATCTGTCCAAAAAGCATAAAGAGGTCAAGCTCTCCTCTCCTCTCTTCTCTTCTCCTCTCCTCTCCTCTCCTCTCCTCTCCTCTCCTCTCCTCTCTTCTCCTCGTGTAGTTTTGCCCTGTGTATTGCACAACACATTTCAGAACGCAGCCAAGAATCCAGGTGTGGGTTAGAGTAACTCAAACATGCAGGCACTCACTGTATACGACCTAAGAGCACCAGTAATGACCCCTTATTTACAGCTTTTACACAAACACACATGCAGCATGTGGTGAGAAACACTGTCTCACTGCCTCACCCCTCTCTCTCTCTCTCTCTCTCTCTCTCTCTGCAGACATAGATGAGTGTGCTGAGGGCCTGAGCTCATGTGGTGCTCATGCTCAGTGCATGAACCTGGCCGGGAGCCACCGCTGTCAGTGCCAGAGCGGCTACGAGTTCGGCTTCGACGGGCGTACCTGTGTCGGTGAGTGCAATGAACGCAGAGCTGTGTTTTGGGATGTTTAGATACAATTATCCTAACTGTATTTACACAGGAGATGGGTTTGGGTTCTGAGCTCTTCCTGGAAACTGTTTTATTAGCACTAAACAAAACAAAAGTACAGCTGAGGCTAAGAGGAATGTCGTAAGGCAGTTATTTGGTCTTGGAATTTGCATTAAATGAAACGTTAAAGAAAGAAACTTTGAAAAGATAGTGCAAAAATTATTATGCAATAAAACACACCCTCAGCCTGTTTAATATTTCCATTCCACTTTGTTTGTCTGGTATAGCCAGTAGCTTATTGTGGCTAATGTGAGAACAAGTGAGCTTATTCCAGATGTTGTTAAACTGACACCTAATTTGGTTGTTTGATTAATCTTCTTTGCTTTATTTACCATTACAAGTGAAACCGTTTTAAACTCAGAGGACTACTAATGTAATTAGCATTTGTCCTTGGGGCAACATGAATGTCTGTGGCAAGTTTCACGGCAATCCATCCAAAGCAGAGACATTTCACTAAAAAACAAAAATGTTAGTGGTGGTGGAAAACCCCAGGAGATCACTAAAATCAGGAGGATTTATCCTCTGCGGTCTGAACCAAATTACATGGCAATCCATCCAATAGTTGTTATATTTCAACATGGAAGAAAGTGGTGGCCCGACCTAGTGCCTTGCAGCGATGGTAAATAAAAAAAGATGTTCACTAGCCTGATATTTTAATGTTATCGAAGGTGGTTTAATAATTCCCACTGAGGCAACTGCTCCGTACCTCAAAGCATGTGTTTTTGTGTCTGTTGAAGATCTTTCAACACCTTTTAATAATTGTTTAAAATGAATAACAAGCCCATTGCAGTGGTTTGTATTTGAGCTAAGCCCCATTACATATGTTATCTGAAATACTAGACCAACAGAGATATCAACTCCAACCACATAACACACTGCTTTCTGCTGAACAAGCGGTGTCCGCCTGCACGCACTGTTAGTGTGGTAAATGGGATGCTCTGCACGTGCAAAGAAATGAACACTCTCTAAACAAATCGTCTATCCAAATGGGAGCCATGTCACGTATTTTTGGAGCATGTAGTGCTGCATGTTCCTGAATGAGCTGTATATTTGGAGGGGATCCACATTTCTTCAACAACAGTAACGCACAGCTGCAAAAGCTAGGAAACACAGCGAGAGGGGAGGAAGGGTGACAAATGCTCCAACAAGGGTGGGAATGGGAGGACTAATGTGAGAGGGTGAGGTTAGACAGGAGAAAGGGGGTGAGAGTGGAAGACAAATGGAGACACGACACAATGTGTGTTTTGCGTTGGAATGTGTGGAGGAGAGAGGTGTGTGTCCTCCTTTCACCCTTCAGTGTGAACTTTTGATGAACTTCTTCAAACCCTCCCTGCCTCCCTGCTTGACAGAGACTTGACACAAGGCGGTGGAATTCACACAAAACAAATAAGATAACTTACAGCCAGATGTATATCAGTTAAGATTTATGAACGTAGTAGAATTTGAATTTATTACGAAATTTCAATTTGAGGATGTGTTTACACTTTTTTCTTAGATATCGATGAATGCAGCTCCTCTCCCTGTCACGTCAGTGCCAGATGTATCAATGGACTGGGCTCCTTCCAGTGTCAGTGCCAGCCCGGGTTTTATGGGGACGGCTTCCAGTGTTCCCAGGAGGAAGGTCAGTAAAAACACCACGTAGGGAAGCACGATATGAAATACAGTTCATATCCAAAAGAAACGACAAAGGGAAGAAGAAAACCAAACGCATGTGATTTTCTTTCTACAGCAGAGACAGGTCGCCCGAGGAGCCAGTGTGAGCATCACAGGGACAGCCTGCAGAGTGGAGGGGAAGCAGGAAGACCCAGTGTGGGAGCCTTCATCCCTCAGTGCGACTCTGACGGACGCTACCGGACTCTGCAGGTGGGTGGGCAGCGACTGATAAGTGCTAGAGTGCACGTTTGACGGTTAAATTAAGCAACGTGTGGATTTGAAAACATTTAACAACGTGTTACAGTGTCACGGCTCCACTGGACATTGCTGGTGTGTGGACAGCAGGGGACAGGAGAGAACAGGAACCAGGACTCTACCTGGAACAGCCCCCTTTGAATGTGACCGACCAGGTGAGAAACACACACAGAAACACATTCACTGCCTATTTTATTGAAACACATCAAAGAGTGATTGTTTCATTGTTAACCCTTTCCCAAAGAAGTTGGAATTTAAGAGAAGAATACGACTAGTGTATACATCACCTCTTAATATTCTGTTCATCTGTATCCCTCCAGATGAGCCAGAGCGCCCTAAGACTCACTGTCAGCACCACAGAGACGGGGTGCAGACCACCAGTCCAGAGGGATATCCTGTAGTTGGAGCCTACGTAGCTCAGTGTGACGCTAGCGGACAGTACATATCCCTTCAGGTCAGGATCTAATGAGTAATGAGCTTATTGACTGACTAAATGGTATAAATCTGGCTGCTTGGAATGAATAAAATGTGGTTTTTTCAGTGTCACGGCTCTACCGGACATTGCTGGTGTGTGGACAGTAGGGGACAGGAAAGAGCAGGAACCAGGACTTCACCTGGCGCACCGCCCACAGACTGTGACAAACCAGGTGAGAAAGGAACATGTACACAAACAGACAGACCTCTCCCTCTAATCAGCCTCCAATGAGAGCTCCAAACGGTTTTGGTATGTGCACTAACAGAACCAGCGTCGGCAGGTGGATTCTGTCATGCCTATCCAAGGATTTCTCGCTAAACATTGACCTTTGTACCCCCTAATTCCTCAACTCAATGACAAGTCAAACAGACAGCACGTTTACGTGAGTGCTTGTCTAACCTTGTAAGTGGTGCACTACTGAGGTCATTGGGTCACAGCCTTGGAATGCCTGGAAAAACAGGTGATATCATTTCAGAGAGTTTGTGTGTGTGGTGGGAAGTTGAGCTAAAAGGCGTCCAGTAAAACAGTAAGGTGAAGCTAAGAAAACATGAAACAGTACCTTTTGTGTGTACAGTATATGTTATAGTAGTAATTACTATTTGTTATTTTTACCTGCTGAGCGGATTTTATGACGTTCAGCCCTTTTAACTTTGAGATGTCAGAAATAAACACTTCCCCTAACATCTCTTTGAAATCTGCCTTTCAAAGTTAAAAGGGCTGAACGTCATAAAATCCGCTCAGCAGGTAAAAATANCGTACTACTACGTACGTACGTACGTACGTACGTACGTACGTACGTACGTACGTACGTACGTACGTACGTACGTACGTTACGTACGTTACGTTACCGTACGTTACGTACGTACGTTACGTACGTAGTACGTTAGTAGTGTGTGTGTGTGTGTGTGTGTGTGTGTGTGTGTGTGTGTGTGTGTGTGTGTGTGTGTGTGTGTGTGTGTGTGTGTGTGTGTGTGTGTGTGTGTGTGTGTGTAAGGGCAACATGTGTTGAAATCACAGAGCACATGCTTAATCATAAGTGTACCCGTGTGAAGCAGTAATTACCTTTAGGACTTGGCTTTTTGTCAGAAAACACACACTCACACACACGTACTTGGCCTTCAGTCAGACTGTAAACTTTCAAACCAATAATTTGAAACACACATTAGAAGTTTTATGATTTGGGTTATTGCTTCGATGTTTAATCATTTGTATCCACCGCAATAACACACACACACAAGCACCGTCTCTCTCTCAGACAAACACACATGCACACAGAATAACACATGCATACCTGTTTATTATGTGATCAGTTGCAATGACGAAAAGCAGATGTTATTCCTGTTAGTCTGAAAGATGTGTGTGTGTAGGATTAATAGCATCAGTAAATGTACATTTTTCTTGGAACAGTTTGGTGCTACACTATAATTAACTTCTACGACAGATTATCAAACATGTGTTTTTAAAGGGATACTTCCTTGTTCCTGCGAGCGTCTGTCTCACTCTGATGAAGTCGTGTTACTCAATAGGAGTTTCTGCCAAATAGCTTCACATGTAACGGGCACTGTACTAATGAATGAGACACAGGCCTGTCTGAGGACTTTAATGTGTTTGTCATGGCCGTGATAATGGTCTGAAACCATCTGTGCGTTCCGCTGCTCATGTAATACCCCTGTGTGTACGGTGCAGTCTCACTCGGCCTCTGTGGAGCACCTCCAGGATGTTACACTTGATCGTGAAGAGAGTGTGTGGGAGTTTGTTTGTTTCTTGCTCAGGGAAGAGATGTTGGCAAATCCAGAAGAAACCGCCCCGAGGCTTTAGAAGTGCAGCTTGTGTAAGTTGAATAGCTCGTGTTTGCGCGTTGCCTAAAGAGAACAATAGAAGCTGGTGTTTACCCAGTGGAAGAGACCACTATGATGGCTCGAGGGTTGACCAAGTCGGAGTCAAACAGCGTCCGCCTCCCGCTGCCGTCCAGGTTGGCGCTCTCGATCATGTCGGGGTTCGAGTCGACCCAGAACATCAACCTGCGCTTTTCATCCACTGCCAAACCCTCGGGACTGACCAGATCTACACAGAGCAGAGAGGGTTTAGAAATCATTTAAAACATGCAACTGATATAAAGGAAATGAAGGAGGGTAGGTGTTGGTTCTTACTCGCGTTAATGAGGATCTCTGGCTCGGCACCGGCCGCAATCGAAGCTCTGTTGATTGTCCTTGCAGACAAATCCGTCCAATAGACCTGGTTGTCTTTGCAGTCGTAGGCTAAGCCAACAACTATGGAGCCCTGGACACACACATATGAATATGAGCATAGAGAGATAAGAGGCTTTCAAAATGGGAAATAATGTCAATATTTTGCAACACAATGTTGTAATGATCTACGTTTAACTAAGAAAAAAGACACCAGAAGTAAAAATAGAATCAAATCTAGCTATATTCATCCCTTACATGTAGAGTCAGTAGTGTTTTGGAGCGGGCTCCATCCAGTCGGGTCCCGTTGAGAGGCAGCGCTCCTATCTTCTGTCCCTGAGCGTACAGCAGTGTGATGTCAGTGTTTGGCGGAGGCGTCACATCTGGGCGGGGCAAGGGGCGCACGGTGGGCGGGGCCACTGAGGGAAGGCCTGGGACAAGAGTGGATTGGTTAAAAAAAAGCCACGGTTGGTTGGAAAATCAGTTATTTTGACCACATATAAACAGACAGGTAGAAAGGTGCTTACATGCAGGTTTGACCACATCATGTGATCGGGTTCCAGGAACCTCGCGCCCGTCCTGGTCCACACACCAGCAGTACGTAGTATCTCCGTAACACTGGACTGGACTGAGAGACAATTTGCTTTCATTAGTAATTTGTCCTTAAAATAAACAATTTCATCTGCTGTTTTTCCTTTCTGTGGTGTGTACCTGAACTGTCCGTCCGACTCGCACTGAGGCACGTATTGTTGAGCCCCTGGTTTTCCACCATAGTGCTCGATCAAACTGGTCATCCATCGCTCACACACACTCTCGGGGTGCTGGGTCGGAGCCACGGGGCCTGAGGGGGACGGCAACCAAACACACCCAATTATGTAAATGTTTTTAAAGTTACATTTAATTCTACATTGTTGTAAAATGACAATTGAGATCACATTCTGTTGTAACTTGTTTGTTTACAAGCTCACACACACATCTTGCTTTTGTCAATACTGTTTACCTTGTAAAAATCTCTTTAATAACTCACTTTATAGGAGAGCTTTAAAAGTAAACCTGAAACCACTTAAGGCCTCCACTAATGTTTATACTGGCCCCTCTCTGGCCCTCTGTGCATTTCCAATGTGAGAGTGCAGTTGCTACACTAAGGAGATGAGATTAATATGTGAAAGGACAGTGAGAATAGCTTTATTGTGAGAGTTAAGAGAGGTTAATACTGACTGAACTATTAGAATGATGTGTTTCCAGCAGTATTGCAATCCAGTCGTATGATTCACTTGGTTTTACTTCAATTTACTGTTTGACCACATGATGTTCTTCCCAGAAATCAACAGCATGTGGACTGTCCAGTAAGTCAATGATATTTCCACTTAGGGCTGACTTAGTGTGTTGGCAGTGAGCTGTGTCACTTATGTGGGCACACACATTCACGAGTTTAATGTCTATGTTTGCCTGCATCACGTAAACTTCTACATTTGGTACGGATGTAATTTAAGAATCCATCTGAAATTGTCAAATTATGGGTTTCCGTTCATGCAAATCATGTTTCTGGGTTCCTCTCCTGATTTGGAGCAGAGGATATGAATGTGGGCAGGAAATGCGCTCGCCTCCCTCATCATGGACTATTGGTCTGTGGTCGTGCTGTGCAGCTTCCAGGTGGGAATGAGTGCCGCTGAATATGAGACGGAGCAGTAATGACTTCAGATAAGACTAAAAAAAATGCTGAGCACAGTGTGTGTGTGTGTGTGTGTGTGTGTGTGTGTGTGTGTGTGTGTGTGTGTGTGTGTGTGTGTGTGTGTGTGTGTGTGTGTGTGTGTGTCTGTGTGTGTCTGGGTGTAACACTGTTTTTGTAACTCAGCTGGTCGAGCAGCCTGTCTTGTTTTGGTTTGGTTGTCTAGCAACAGCTGGCAGCTCATCCTACCACGAAGTGACCACTTCAGATGTTTGGAGGGTCATAAATGGAATTTATAGCCAGAGCTGAATTTATAGAAAGGCCTCTGTGTACATTAGAGTGTGAGTGAGAGGGCGAGAGAGGATCACAGGGTCAGAGGGAGAGAGAGAGAGAGAGAGAGAGTTGTGAATTTTCAAAGGGTAATACTTGTTTGTTTATTTCAGTGCAAATGCTTGTTTTACACTGCTCCTTGTTCTAAAGTGTGCTTTCTACTATCAACGCAAACAGCTTAATGTCTATTTGCGAAGTTTTCTTCTTGTCTGAAACAAGATATTATTATGCTATGGAAGCAAAATAGTCAAAATCGCAATGTTTATGCCTACAATGTCTCGTCACAAAGAAATCATTCTTAATTAGATGAGAAGATCACTTGTCTATCTATTGATCTTCTCATTTGACTCTTTCCTAGAAAGGAAATTACCATAGTTTCCATTCCCATTTATTCTGAACTGTATTTTGCCTGGACGCAGAAGTACTTGATGACGGTCTCACCTGGTCTGTCACAGTCTCTAGGCTGTGTACCAGCTGGAGTTCTGGTTCCTTCTCTCTCCTGCCCCGTACTGTCCACACACCAACAATGTCCAGTGGAAGTGTGGCACTAAAACAAAAAAGAAAGAAAATGTCGGTAAAGAGTAATATTAAACAATGGCAAAAAACAATAACAAAGCAGGTGTGTTGTCGATGCCAACCTGGAGTCGTAGGTACTGTCCGTTAGCGTCACATTGAGGCACATGGGCTCCTACTACAGGATATCCCTCTTGAATGGTAGTCTGAGCTCTCTCTCTCTGGTGCTCACACTGAGTCTTAGGACGCTCTGGCTCATCTGGAAAACATTTACAAGTTAAACAAAGTTATTACACATACAATATGTCTAGGAAAATCACAAGTCATACATTGCATTCATCAGGTCATTTATAGCTATCATACGCAGTCTCACCGGGTCTGTCACAGTCTTTAGGTGGTGCACCAGCTGAAGTCCTGGTTCCTGCTCTCTCCTGTCCCCTATTATCCACACACCAGCAATGTCCAGTAGAGCCATGACACTGAAGCAGGGGGAAGATCAGGGGGAGATCTTTCAGGTTATACGTCCACAATTCCAATTTACTCCACAAGTTTATCCACAAAGTGTCTGAAAGTGTTTACCTGCTGTGATATGTACTGTCCATTATCGTCACACTGAGGAACATAAGCTCCAACAACAGGATATCCCTCTGCACTGGTTGTCTGCACACCGTCTCTGTGGTGCTGACAGTGAGTCTTAGGGCGCTCTGGCTCATCTGGAAAAGAGTGATATATTTTTACAAGTCCATAGATAACACAGGTGTTATTTTAGGATCATACCCTGCATGGGAAACTTCTCTTCAGTCCATAAGGCTCATTATCAAATCTTCACAGTAGATTATTTAGCTTTAACAACATTTTGCTAGCCGTAAATAGCATTCAAAGAAATATATCAGCAAATATGAATTACAGATGCAACCGACTTGCCTGCTATCTAGCATCAGCTGGTTACTAATCTTCACCCTCTCATCCAAATATGGTCATTTCTGGCATTGAATAACAAAGATGGCGACATCCAAAATGTCAAAATGAAAGCTTCAAAACAGCAATTCATAAACCCAAGCCATCACGGGGTCTACGTCAACTGCTTTCAAACAGTTAAAGGACCCAATACTTTAAAGTGTGTATGCAACAGCAGCTAGACTTAAGAGTCTCACCTGGTCTGTCACAGTCCACACGTTGTGTATCAGGTGAAGTCCTGCTTCCATCCTTCTCCTGTCCCCTACTGTCCACACACCAACAATATCCAGTCGAATCGTGACACTGAAAAACAACAATGATAGTTTAACAATAACAGAGCCCAAACAGAGGCTGTGTGTCTCATTAGGAACAGATCTTACCTGCTGAGATGTGTACTGTCCGGTGGAGTCACACTGAGGTACATACACTCCCAGAAGAGGGTATCCCTCTGGGCTGTGTGTTTGAACACTGTCTTTGTGCTGCTCACAGTAGGTTTTAGGACGCTCTGGTTCATCTGAAGATTTTGGATATAGCAATAGTAAAAACAGAGTCAATACATAATAGAAATAACCAATATGTAACCAGTTAAACCTTTCCACAAGTTCTACTTCAGTGTATGTTGTGTTGGAGCCCAAGGGACGCCAAGAGAATAGACCCTTCCCCTAACCTGGTCTGTCACAGTCTTTACGTGGTGCACCAGGAGGAGTCCTGGTTCCTGTTCTCTCCTGTCCCCTTTCATCCACACACCAGCAATGTCCGGAGGAACCATGACACTGTAGCAAAAACAATAACAATTGATGTTAAATAGGGCTTTACTTTCATCATATAACTCAAGGCTGCATTAAATGTATAGATTAAACTCTGTCACCAGACGCTGACCTGTGATGATGTGTACTGTCCGTTAGCGTCACACTGAGGAACATAAGCTCCAGCTATAGGATATCCCTCTGGACTGGTGGTCTGCACACCGTCTCTGTGGTGCTCACAGTGAGTCTTAGGACGCTCGGGCTCATCTGGACAGATTAAGGTGAACAGTTACAGGATTATATGCATTTTCTTGTATCTAAGTTATAAAAATACATGGAGTAACACTGGACAACATTTAGACATTAGTCATATGTTCTTGATCTTTGTAAAGTTGTTTAACATCTGGAATGTTTGTCCCTACAAGAATAAAAAGATGTCTTTAATCATTTTGTGTTTTAATAATGATGTCCTTCACGCATAGGCTACGACTTACTGCTGGTTGTTTAGCCTGAGCTTTGTGTAAGACCTACACATGTACTTTATAAAGGCAGATTTCAAAGAGATGTTAGGGGAAGTGTTTATTTCTGACATCTCACAGTTAAAAGGGCTGAACGTCATAAAATCCATTCAGCAGGTAAAAATAACAAATTGACAATTACCGTCTGACGATTGTAACATAATTATAGTGTACACACAAAAGGTACTTTTTCATGTTTTTTAGTTCATATTACTGCCAACATGAAAGCTTCTAACAACAGTCCACAAACCCAAGCCATCACAGGGTCTACGTCAACTGCTTTCAAACAGTTAAGGACCCAATACTTAAAAGTGTGTATGCAACAGCAGCTAGACTTAAGAGTCTCACCTGGTCTGTCACAGTCCACACGTTGTGTATCAGATG